CTCTAAGGCCTTGCAAAGCCCATTAAAAGTGTATCTGTTGGGGAAAGTGTTGGAATGTGCATCAGAAAGCCAGTAATCTTTTCCTGCTATTGTAATTAACTGCTCCCTGCATGGTGTCCACCTTTTTGTGTTGGCTGACAGCAAACTGAAAGGCTTATATACTGTTAAAACTGAGAAAAGAGAAAATGAATAGAATTCAGGAACACATACAGAGAAAAGGTTCTTCACATACTTACATTTTACATACAATAGAATGCTGAACCTCAAACTCTAAGTTTGCAATCACTGGACATGTATAAACTCTAGTAGCTGACAAATCATCAGATATGCGTCCTTGGGAACTGTCTTCACCAGAGACTGGCTCATTCTTCCATGTTTTGTTCAGCTTTTCCATGTCTTCTTTCAACTGATCCAAGCACTGACTTAAGAATTCATGGGCATCCTAAAAGCATTGACACATTATTTAGGAACAGCAACTTCAATATCTATAAACTCCAGCAGGTGATCATTTATATAAATTCAGAAATTTATATAAATGCTCTCTTATTTAACAAAAATACACTTTATGGATTCAGTTACTTAAATATGTCTGCGATATTTACAACTGATATCAGAACTCACACTAACAATAACATTATTAAACAGCTTACAATCCTGCTTGAAGGCATGATACTTACATTTTGCATATAGCCAGAGAATCTCTCTGCAGTAGCTGAAATTGCATTTTTCACCTTTTTAAGCAACTCCTTCTTTGTGTCAGGGCCACACACATCCTTTTTATGGAGCAGGTGAGTAAAGCGTCTAGAGAAACGAATGCAATGGCATTCAAATGTTAAAATATAAGTTTAAATTGTTTCATGTTAAAATATCTGCAAAGTTTCATCCCATCAGCCACTCTCTCAACAAAGTTTGTTCCCATTAACAAAGCACAGACATAGCCTTGCAAATATCTTCTGAAACAAGTCATTCTTTCCCCTTTCTAGAGATAGGCATGAATCCCCAGTGTGGCGGTCCTTGCCAGTTCATCTTTTAACCAACCATGTGTTCCCCAGTTCCCAGCCCTTCCTCCTCTGATGAGTGCCCTTTCAGAAGCAGTGCCTCAACTTCCCTGCCCTGCTTCCTCCAGGTGCTGCCTCAGACTGGCCACCCGCCAGAAGAGGTGGGGCTGGGAACTACCAAACACCAGTTTGGCCAAAAATTGAAACATCTCTACTCCTTTGTATTATTCTACATGCATTTAAAAATCAATTCATGTAAGCCATATTCTGCTTTTTAGTAAAATACTGAGCCAAATAAATAAAAAGACTGGCCCAAATAAATCATTCTGTTAAAATGTTTTAAATTCAAATAGACACAACCTTTTTTGGTCTTTCATACACCGAGTTACCATGTCTGCAGCACCCCTTGCAATGCTATTTATAAACAAATTCCTCACAATATTGCCAAGAAATAGCAAAGGCTACCTAAATGAGTAATAAGTAATAATGAAAGCAGTATATTTTGAAAATATATGACATCCTAAGAATGAATGTATATTATATAAGCACTGGCTGAAATCCTGTTAGTTAGCATAGTTAAATTGCAACTTTAGTAGACCCATTTGAATCAATGTAGCTTGCAGAGTAGGTCACTCACCAAATTCCCACTGATTCAATGTGCCTACTCTTATGCGACTTCATATGGTAAGCAAAAGGATTTCACTCACTGTATACTATACACAGGGTAACATAATAGGGTTATGGACTAGCACTCAGGAGACCTGGGTTTAATTACGTATCTGGCTTTGCAGTGGAAACTTATTGGAGAGGATGGAACTGGTAAAAATTACTCCTAAAATACCTCACTTACTTTGAAAGCCATATTAGAGGCACTGTAAGTCATAACATAATATATTATATAAAGAAGAGCCACAAAAACCAATCTTTTATTGTCTAATAAGAGGGAATATGCTTAAAATAACAGCTGATGTAAGATTCTACTGCCATTAAGAAAGTTGTCCAGATGTAACAGAAGCATAGGCAAGCTGAAAACAAGGGTTCTAAGCAGGCAAAAACCCAATTAAAATGTTATATAATGCTTATCGTGAGAGAATCAGCAGGAGAAATATCTACTTTAACCACAAAATTTGAGCCTACCTGATAAGTGCATTGCATGGAATTTTCTTCCATGGGATATTTTGCTTCAAAAGATCATTAGCAAATGACTGAATTGAGAACAGAGATTGTAAAATAGCATTCATGTAACAAGTATTTCCTAGATTTGTAAATCTGTGAAGGACAAGAAAATTCTGCAATTAGAATATGTATAACACACATATTGAGAACCAAAGCACTTTAAAGATCTCCTTCTTCAAAAACAGAGAGAAGCACCTTCTCTAAGAAGCACATTACTGTACAAAGGGCTCCCCAAACATTGGTGCTTTGATGGCAAAGAGGACAAATACAGGGTGTTCTGTATCAGCATCAGGGGTGGATGGGAGCAGGTAATGACACAGCCAGGTCCAGACGTCCTTCCATTCTGATGCAACCCTAAACCACGGAAGGTGCATTTATTGTCCTCTTCGCTGACAGGCAAACATGTAGAAAGGCAGCCATCCCTTTCTATTTTTACAGCAACAGCCCAGGGCAACTTTGGATTGGACAGTTTGTGCACCATGGATTCTTCTCCCGTGCCCTTACTAGATTGCTCTGCCTGGCTTTTTAGCCACATTGAACTGTCTGTGGAAGCTTTACAGTGGTGCCTCGCATAGCAACGTTAATCGGTGCAGCAAAAATCGCTGCTAAGCGATTTCGTTGCTATGTGATTTTAAACAGCCCATAGGAATGCATTGAAACCCCTTCAATGTGTTCCTATGGGCCTAAAACTGACCTTTAAGCGCTCCATACGGTGGCCATTTTTGCTGCCTGGTAAGCGAGGAATCCATCCCTAAACACAGCGGCCGGCCATTTTTTTACCCCGGCGGCCATTTTGGAACTGCTGATCAGCTGGTGAAAATAATCGCTTTGCGTTAATCGGTAAGCGAAAGGGAAAAAACCCCATTCAGACCATCACTATGCGATTTTGTGTTTAAACGGGGCGCCTGTTAAGCGAGGCACCACTGTATAAGTATAACTGTAGAAAGTGTTCAAAGACAAACCTTGTTCAAAACAACTGGAAAGGGCTAATGACAAACTAACCTTTCAAACTGTGACTGATTTTCTTTCAATATAGTAAAATGTTTTAAACTATTGCAAGAAGCAAGGAAGAGATGTACACTTTGTCCAGAATCTGGACAGGAAATATTACTATAGAAATTTAATTTTCAGACCAAGACTTGAAGAAGAGGGGAAATAATCCTGAAATATGAAAAAACATTCAAAATCCTAGAAGCCGATCTGGGTATGAGCTCAGATGTATGTAGCTGTTGTCACTTCCCACTGACTCTCCTGATCACACTTCACAATGTCATTTAGTACTCTGGATGAACAGAAATGCTATACAGAACACAAAAGTGATACCTCTTCCTCAGAGGGATTTTAATTTGGAGTCAAGCAAACATGAGAAAAGTGAGGGGAGGAAATAAATCCTGTCAAAGTAACAGCTATGGTAGGGAAATAATAACCAAGTATAAAGGTGCTGATTTGGCTCTTCCCCCAATGCAACCAACAATTAATAGAACATATACATGTGAGTGCACACATGTGCATGAATTTGCATATGAAGACTCTGATATGTAATCTTACCCTTGAAGCTGCTGTTGTGGGTGAGTAGAAAGAGGCATTCGTGGCTTATTCCATCCCATGTAGTCTTGATTAGACCTCATTTTCTTAACAGACAGGGGTGCTGGCTGAGAAAGAAATCCCAAGCTTCTTTTGGCAGAAGGAGTCTGATTTAGGACGTTAGACCTGCAAAGTGAGATGGACAACGGTATTTTCCCCCCAAAACATGGCAGATGTTTGCTGGTGACAAGATACAAAACAGCCACAGGGGTATTAATCTAAGCAAAGACAGCACATTGTTAAGATGTTTAAAATGAACAGTATAAGGATACATGACCTTACAAAATGTGTTATTTCAAACTCACACACATATGCAGCTCTAATTTTTGAATCAAGTATTGCGTATTTATTTATTTAATTAATTTGTATCCCACTCCCATTAGTGTCGTAGCACTACTCTGGGCGGGTTACAATCTCATAAAACAGAAAACACAAATGAAAATAGAAATATTAAAACTGATAAAACCCTTAAAATGTTCAAAAGAAAACCAGATGGCACCAACTAATCTAAGAGCGGATGGAGGGAAAGAAGGGAGGGAAGAGGGGGAAAAAGGGGCGGAGGAAGGAGGTGAACCTCTTGAAACATGTTTACTTCCAACCCTGTTTACAGTGCTGAAGTTGATCCATAAGCAGGCATCAACAGAAACAAAACCTGGTCATTAAACAAGCACAAGTATCTATGCAGTTAAAATAAGTTGGGCAAGTATAAGACAAGTAAATCCTGTGTCCCATCATTAGCAAAATAGTAGCTTCATTCTCCTTTAACCTCTTCCCAGCTACAGCAAATGTAAATTTATACATGACCACCATAAGCCACCTTTAGGTTTAGTTTCATACATCACTAATGGCATTTTGTCCTTCAAAACCACTGATGTTTTCTTTGTCTTTAATATTTTTTCACCTAGTACTAGGTTTTAAATGGTTTTTTTTTGCTTTGCGATGATCGGGTCCGTTTCGCTTACCGATCATCGCAAAGCAACAATTTTAAAACAGCTGATTGGCGGTTCCAAAATGGCCACCGGGTAAAAAAATGGCCGCCCGCTGTGTTTAGGGACGGATTCCTCGCTTAAGAGGCAGTGAAAATGGCCGCCGTATGGAGGATCTTCGCTTTAAGGTGAGTTTTAGGCCCATAGGAACGCATTAAACAGGTTTTAATGTGTTTCTATGGGCTTTTTAAAATCGCATAGCGAGGAAATCGCTTAGCAGCGATTTTGCTGCACGGATTAATGTCGCTATGCGAGGCACCACTGTATATTATCTTAGAACTCAGGTTCACTCCATCCATCTGATGACAATGTATGCCAAATAAAACTTGTTTGTTTTTAAGGTGCTGCTAATCTTCAGGAACGAATCTTTGCCTCAAACTGATCAAAATGTTAAACAAACCTTTCCAAGCTGCCGAGGTGGCTAGGGATCACCTTGTAATTGCCCAACGAGTTCAGCCCCTTCCCCCAAGCTTAAGAGGAGGGTACATTTTACCTAGTACATGGCATGAAATTCTAAATCACCTAATGCATTCGGTCAGCACAGTATCTGAATTTTCTTGCTCCTCTGCGCTTTAAATCAGAAGCGGACACTATTTTAATAATTATTTAATAATTATTTAGATAATTAATAATATCTGTTTCTAAAGATGAAAATACACAGGCACATCATTTGATGAACACCATGTTTTAATTATCAAGCATAGGGAAAAATGGATCTTTAAATACATTCTGTACCTACCTGTCTAGATTAGAATTACTAGCTGAATAATCTTTTGAAGAGGATCTGCTACCATAGAATGAAGATGATTGCAAAGGCAAAAGTCCTTGGGGAAAAAGCAAAAGTAAACCTTTGTTAAAATCGTTATGTCAATCAAAGGACACTGGCTCATACTCAACACTTCAACAGAGTTACAACGTCGTTGTATAATGCACTAATTTTTGTCATGCAAGGCTTCATTCAGCTCCAAATAACTGAAATATAAATATTTCCCAACGCACTATTTTGCTCTGTATTATGTCTCAGAATTCTATGCATTGGCTACAGCAAAGAAATTGATAAAGCCACCTTTCCTGTTACAGCATAGGAATGTTACATCTTAAGTTTATTTTAAAAATTCCCATGTTGCTTTATGTTATATACAGTGGTGCCTCGCTTTACGATTGCCCTGCATTACAACGAAACCGCTTAACGACGATCTTTTTGCGATCGCAATTGCGATCGTAAAATGATGGTCTGAATGGGGGAATTTCGCTTTGTGATGATCGGCTACCTGCTGCGGGAACCGATTCTTCGCAAAACAACGTTTTCTGAATAGCTGATTGGTTTCAAAATGGCCACTGGGTGATTAAAATGGCTCCCCGTTGTGTTTAGGGACGGATTCCTCGCTATACAGGCAGCAAAAATGGCCGCCGTATGGAGGATCTTCGCTGGACGGTGAATTTTTACCCCACTAAACGGGTTTCAATGCATTTCAATGGGTTTTTTATTTTTCCTTTATGATGATTTCGCATAACGGCGATTTTCCTGGAACGGCTTATCATCGTTAAGCGAGGCACCACTATACAGGAATATACTGAAGGACTGCTGTGAGATCTGGAAACTTCAGGTTTAAACTCAAAGAAGAAGCAAACCCTCTCCAATTCACAGCTTACAGCAAGTAGCAAATGCGTAACTACAGTATAATTACAGTGGAACAAGAATCCCTTACGCAACATGTGGGAAGTATTAACATCCTCCCTCTTAATTTTCAATGTAAGCACCAAAAATGTAATGGAACAATGATCACTTCTCAAGGGGAAGCAATAAAGATATTCACTATATGTTAATGAGGAAATCAAAAGGAAAGCAAGCCAATATGCAGCAAAATGCTCAAGATAAAATTAGGAATTGGATATATAGCAGCACTCTGTTACTCCTGATCTATCAGATATCAATGGTTTAGATTCTAAACCATTCTTAATATTGGAACATTTCTTTAGCGGTTTCCTAAGTCTGATCTTTACGGCTCCCATTTAAATGTTTGCTCTTATAATGTTTCTTTTTTAATTTGAGTGGGAAGAGCCCCTCTCTCTCAAGCCCAAATATTTCAATGAAGCATAAGAATCTTAGAAGGTAAATTTTCAGAATACTAACAAAACTGTTCTGTTTCAGTCTGACTAGCTATTCACTGGATGTGATTGTCAAAAACAGCATTATTCTCCTTACCTGATGTTCTGTTTTCCTCATTCTGTTTCAAATTCAGCTGTTTTTCTCTGCTGTTATGTAAAAATTTACGACCTGGATCAGTCACAGCTTTATTATTGCTGCAAATAAATGTATGAAACTTGTCTTATTTTATATGTTAAATAATATAATACACTATGGCATCAGGCATTTTTGCTACCATCACAGATCCCTTAAATATACATTATACCTACTTGAAAAAAAACATAGCTATAAATCTCTTAAAACTACAATAAGCCTTCTGCTTGAATCCAAATTCATCACATTAAAGTCACTTATTTAGTTATAATCAAAAAGTGCAACACTTAGGTTCTAATAACAAGCTGACCAAAAAGTACACAGATTCTATATATATAAACCTTTTATATTCCTGAATGCTTTCAGTTATTGAGTGCATTAACACTGGATTTTTGCAAAAGCTACACATTATGTTGTTTCAAAACAAAATTTAGAATTTTTTGTTATACAAATTTCACTTTGCAAATGGGGAGAACAAGCAACACACACTAAAACTAGAAATATTTAAGTGAAGAACCATCAGAAGCATACGTTGATGAATCATTCTCTTTAGGATAATCTTCATTCATCTCCAAAGCAGGTGGTGTCCTTTTTCTCCTTTCACTGTTTTATAAGGGGAAAAGAGTATCTTAAGTTAATGAGAAAACCAACGGGGCAAATATTTTCATGCTTAAAGTAGCATGCCCAGGCATCATCTCTAAACCAGTGTTTTCCAACATTTTTTGAGTTACGTCCCCTTTTTATAATGGCTAAGTAACCTGTGGGTTACTTAGCGTAAGGAAAACACATTAGAATAAAGAAAACACATTAAAATAATTTTTTCAAAATATGATTTTAGCTTAATATATTAATATTAATGTAAAAACACATAATGTACACATAATGTAATAACACTTCCACTCCGGGAGGCAGTGGAAGACAGGAGGGCCTGGCATGCTCTGGTCCATGGGGTCACGAAGAGTCGGACACAACTGAATGACTAAACAACAACAAATAACATAATTATTTGCCTTGACCAGATAAAACTGAGAAGGAAAAAAATGTCAATACACCTTGACTTTAATTTATTTTTGGGGGGTGAGGAAATGACCCTCCCTTCATGTCTCCCCCGCCAAAAAAGCCCCATTAGTGAAGAGCTCCTCACCCTCAAGTCCAAATAAACACCTCCCCTATGGACCTCAAACTTTGGTTCTCTTCCCTCACCTTCTTGCCCTCCTCCTCTAAGACTCTGAAGGGGCCAAGAAGCATCTCCCTGCCCAGGTCCCCTCTCCCTTCACTGCATACTCAAAAGAGTGAACGATTCAGATGGCTCAATATGTAATTTTAGCTAAATATAATTAAGGTGACCCCCCCCCAAAAAAACACTTTGTGACCCCCAAATTGGGGCCGCAAGCCCCAGTTTGGGAACTTACGATCTAAACACTCCTGCTTTAGAAAACCATATTGTAAAAGGTAAAAAGGTTTCATTCCTTTCCAGCTAATTCAATGTGAAAGACTTTGAGGACATTTCTAGAGAGTTCACTCATACCTAAGAACAAGCCACAATGATCTGGAAAAGCAATGTATTAATACAATTCTCAAAGCCATTCATACTATAATGCATACTATACTATAATGCATACTATAAAGGCTGCAACGCCTCAGAAGTTTGTTTTCATACCGATTTTCCAACAACCCTGTTCTGTGAGGTGTTGAAGTAGTAGGAGTAACCGAAATGTTAACTCTATTGCCAGACATTCCTGTTACTGAAGGATTCTTAACTGATGCTCTTCCTGGGCTACCCAGCACCTTACGAAGTTGAATTTCATCTTTATTTTCAACAATCCCTCTTTTGGAAGAAGTCTACAAAAATGAAAGAGGAAACATTGAACTCAACACAACACAATATGTTCCACATTATAGATTTATCTCAGAAAATCAAGATCAGGTCCTCTGAGAAGCTGGTAACTCAACAAAGACTAAATGTAGATACATCTGTTTGAAATCAATGCTTTCCAGTGGAACCTATACACAACTGATAAGATTGCAGCAGCAATATGCCATAATCACAGGCCTCTCTGAAGCCACTGGTTTGCACATAGGATCCCAAATGGGATGTGAACCTGTTACAAAAACTGTGCACTCCCATCACAGGCTACTACATTCCTGGCTAGATATAACTACTATGTATCAAGCTATCACAATTTCAGTGTAGTGCAGAGGAAAAAACATAATTACTATTTTTAAACAAAAGAGAACATTAAAACATAAAAAATAGTTGTGTTACTACAGGGAAACTGCTGACTGTCCCTCTCTTCATCTGCAGCTTGTTTATTAAATGGCTATATTGTAAATTCAAAAACAAAAAACAAACCCAGGTTTTGTGGGACACCCAGGGGGAATATCACTGTCCAAATCCTATTAAGATACAAGTCCTAATACAATGTTTAGATTTAGCCCCAGTGAGTCTCACTGAAGACTTTATCTGCTGGAATAAACTACAAGTGCTCTAGCACTAGACACAATATACACTTAGTGGCCTGAAACAGAACATTTGAGTTACCATCAATGTTCCATCTCCTTGGAGACAGGACAGTCTGTGATTGGTTACATCACCTATCAATCATGGGGGGTAGGACTTAAGTTGAATTTCCTAGCCAGAATATTGCTTTTTTACATAATCACTTAAAGGCTATTACACAGGCAGTTACTGTACTATTTATCAGCTGTCCAGTGCTCCCCTCATTGTGCAGCAGACTGTGTAAATGACAGCCAACATATTGCATTAGCCACTTCGATAAATGTCCTCATAGGCAGTTTTTCACAATAGGGCTCTCGTCCGTTTCTAATGATGGAGGATGTGGAAGTCCCTTCTGAGTTAAGAGACAGACACCAGATGAAGAATTATCCATATCTAGTACAGAGCAGCATTCTAGTCTAAAAACAAAACAAATTTCTCTTTCCTGGTACTCAGGAATGGAGAATATCAAGGGAAGGAGGGGAACTTTCCTGAAATGGGTAATAGCCATATTTCAGAGAGAAGAATACACACATAAGTCTAATGTTCTGTTCTCCCTTAGAGTAGGATGACGTCCTGCAAACAGATGTATAAGAGCAAAAATACTCCTAAGTAAGTCCAGAAAAGTGGCTCCCAACCTTGGGTCACTAGATGTTCTTGCACTACAACTTCCAGAAATTCTGGCAGCACAGCTAGTGATGAAGGCTTCTGGGAACAGCAGCCTAAGAAGACTTGGGTTACTCAAGATTGGAAATCACTGGTCTAGAGGAAGATTTAAGTAATCACTGGGGGAAGTGTGACTACTCCTTGGATATGTCCTGACACTAAACCTTCACTGCAGAACAAGTAGAGAGGCGCAGAAATCCTCTGATGGAGTGTTTTGCCTCTGCAAGATGAGACGTCTTAGAGTATAATGTGAGGACAGACTCTGGGGAAGCCCAGACAAGTCTTTTTGTGGTCTCTGTACTTGGGCAAAAGGCAGATTATGAGCCTCTAGACATGGGGGGAAGGGACGTGGTGGCTCTGCGGGTTAAACCGCAGAAGCCTCTGTGCTCCAAGCTCACACCAGCAGTCATAAGATCGAATCCACACGACAGAGTGAGCTTCTGTCACTTGTCCCAGCTCCTGTCAACCTAGCAGTTCGAAAGCATATAAAAATGTGAGTAGATAAATAGGTACCACCTTGGTGGGAAGGTAATGGCATTCCATGTCTAATCGCGCTGGCCACGTGACCACGGAAACTGTCTTCAGACAAACACTGGCCCTATGGTTTGGAAACAGCGATGAGCACAGCCCCCTAAAGTTGGACATGACTGGACTAAATATCAAGGGGAACCTTTACCTTTACTAGAGATGGGTGTGGCAATTTTGCTGTGTTTTGGGCCCTCAGCATACCTGGCCCTCTTTTTCTAAAGTTACTACAAAAGCATAAGAGAGCCCTTTTTCACTAAGACTCTATTTTTGTAAACTACTAAGTCTTAGACGCAGGAGTGTGAATGGGTATGTTGTTTGGTGTTCTATGCAGCTTTTTCTTCCGATGTTTACTGCACACGAATCGACAGGCATTCCGATTTCTCATATACAGTATTACTACGCACAGACAATGAAAAATACCAGCTTGCTTATCTGTAATTTATAGTTATTTGTATGATCACATACTCACTTATCTTTCTTCCTGCAAGCTCCTTTAAAAAAAAAAAAGGCAGGATGTAGTTGTAACTGAGTTCTTGCTTAACCTGAAACAGTTCCTCACTTGTTGGCTCTTATAAGACCGAAGACAAGGTATTTTGCAATAACGGTTTATTCAACTTCAGCTGTGGTGTGAAAGGTAACCACCGTAGGTCCAACACAACCTTCAACTTGAGACCTTTCAGGCCAATAAACTTTCAACTCTGGAGTACGAAACCAGTCCTTAATGCAGGTATATTCCAAACCTCTTTTGATCAGTGGGATTCCAAAGGGGTTTGCTCCAACTGGCACAAATAGTCCCACAACATGGGTATAGAGCCCATTCCCCCTTGGTAGGTGTCGACACTGGGGTAACTGGATCTGGACTCGCCTCTCTCTCTTCCAAGGACCTTTCCCTCTTGGGTAAACATACACAGTCCAGTTCTAGTGGGTCTGTCCTGTCTACTTGAACTTCAATTCCCTCACATTCGCATCTAGGTTCCCCACTCTCACATTCTCCTTACTGGATAGGTTTATACTTCTATTGTCTCTCTCGTCTAACAGCAGTTTCATTCATACTACCTCATGCACCCCGGGGTCCTCTAGATATAGCAATCCCCAGCCAATTAGGATATCTTCTTCCTTCCATTCCTCCTTTTTCCCCATTTCCCCCCCTCATCTTCCTCTTATTTATCTCTTCCCCCCCACACACACACACACCATGTCCCCTTTCTTCTTCCTCTGTCATCAGAAAACCCTCTGTGACTGGAGGATCTCCTCCTGTCATCACATTCCCACTCTGTCCCCTTTCAAATCTCCTGCCCTTGCTCTGCACCATTGTGGACAACAGGGTGTAAATAGTGTCAAGCCCTTCAGCTTTAGACAATGGAGGGGGTGGCTTACTCCCAGGTCTCGCATCTATTGCTCGGTCTTCCTTACAATAGTATCAGCTGTAATATGGAACAAATTTTACAGAAAGGTAAATTTGCACACTTTAAAGGGAGGGACTGTGAACTCTTACTCCAAAATTTATCAGAAGAAAGTTCTGAGATTGTACTTGGGTGATGAGATAGGATTCTGTATGTGTGACTATATAAGTAACTACTCCAGCTATCCATTTCAGGGGGAAAAAATTCTTTCTTTAACTACTGACCAGGGCTCATTAAAGGAAGCATTGCTGCTGATCCATTTCTGGTCCCAGTTCAAATTGCTGGTTATGAACTATAAAGCTTGGGCCCAGGATATTTGACAGCTGTCCATATGAACCGCCTCAGCTCTCAAGATCTTCCGGGGAGGCCATTCTTTCAGTCCTGCCATTCTCATAGGAACATTTGATGACAATGTGAAAAAGAGTCTCTCTATGGCTACTTCTCAGGTTGTGAAATGCCCTCCCTCAGGATAAGCTGGCCTTTCCCTCTTGCACTTCCAGCAACAAGAAAGATATTTCTTTTTTAGACAGGGCTTTTAAACTATGGTGGGCATTTAAGTTGGACTCTTCTGTGAGTCCTAATATCGTATTTTAAAATGTGTTTCTAAAGGGGTTTAAAATAGTTCAGGGGTGTATTTTTATAGTATTCTATGCTTCACTGCTTTTAACTGGATAATTTAATGTGTTTTTAATGTATTTCTTTTTGTGTTTTAGTTACTGTGAACCGACATGAATTCCTGTAAAGGAAAAAATGTGGTACAGAAATGACACAGCTAATAAGTGGAATTACTACTCTTGTAAAAGATTATAATGCTCATTATAATACAGTGGTGCTTCACTAGACGGTTACCCCGCTTAACGACAAAATCGCTTTATGATGGGTTTTTTGCTATCACAAAACAATGTTTATATGGTTTTTTCGCTTGACAATGAATAGTTCCCTGCTTCGGGAACCGTTTCTTCGCTAGACGACGATTAGAAACAGCTGATCGGCGGGTCGCAAAATGGCTCCCTGCTGTTTTCAGGACCGATTCTTCGCTTTACGACATCGCAAAATGGCTGCCCTATGGAGGATCTTCGCTGCACAATCAGGTATTTCCCCCATTGGAACGCATTGACCGGTTTTCAATGCATTTCAATTGGTTTTTTTTTCACTTGACGATGATTTCGCTGTACAGTGATGCCTCGCTTAGCGATTGCCTCGTTTAACGATGTATTCGCTTAGTGATGAAGTTTTTGGAGCGATCTTGCGCTCTGTTTAGCGATGTTTCCAATGGGGAAATTTCGCAGTGATTTTTGGGACCTTGCTTCGCTTAGCGATGACAGTTTAGGTCCCCTGTTTCGCTTAGCGATGTCCGTTTTCGCTATTTTTAAAGTGTCTTAAAATGTTCAAAAACTGTTTAAAATGCTTGGAATCGTTAGTGCACCCTGTAAAACCTTTGCAAACTTAATTTGGCTTTGTTCTGAGTCTTCGTTAATTTCTGGTGAATTCCCCCCCCATTGGAATGCATTGAACTGTAGGTTTGAAAATTAACGAAGACTCAGAACAAAGCCAAATTAAGTTTGCAAAGGTTTTACAGGGTGCACTAACGATTCCAAGCATTTTAAACAGTTTTTGAACATTTTAAGACACTTTAAAAATAGCGAAAACGGACATCGCTAAGCGAAACAGGGGACCTAAACTGTCATCGCTAAGCGAAGCAAGGTCCCAAAAATCACTGCGAAATTTCCCCATTGGAAACATCGCTAAACAGAGCGCAAGATCGCTCCAAAAACTTCATCACTAAGCGAATACATCGTTAAACGAGGCAATCGCTAAGCGAGGCATCACTGTACAGCGAAATCATCGTCAAGTGAAAAAAAAACCAATTGAAATGCATTGAAAACCGGTCAATGCGTTCCAATGGGGGAAATACCTGATTGTGCAGCGAAGATCCTCCATAGGGCAGCCATTTTGCGATGTCGTAAAGCGAAGAATCGGTCCTGAAAACAGCAGGGAGCCATTTTGCGACCCGCCGATCAGCTGTTTCTAATCGTCGTCTAGCGAAGAAACGGTTCCCGAAGCAGGGAACTATTCATTGTCAAGCGAAAAAACCATATAAACATTGTTTTGTGATAGCAAAAAACCCATCATAAAGCGATTTTGTCGTCAAGCGGGGTAACCGTCTAGTGAAGCACCACTGTATTATAATGAGCATTATAATCTTTTACAAGAGTATTAATTCCACTTATTAGCTGTGTCATTTCTGTACCACATTTTTTCCTTTACAGGAATTCATGTCGGTTCACAGTAACTAAAACACAAAAAGAAATACATTAAAAACACATTAAATTATCCAGTTAAAAGCAGTGAAGCATAGAATACTATAAAAATACACCCCTGAACTATTTTAAACCCCTTTAGAAACACATTTTAAAATACGATATTAGGACTCACAGAAGAGTCCAACTTAAATGCCCACCATAGTTTAAAAGCCCTGTCTAAAAAAGAAATATCTTTCTTGTTGCTGGAAGTGCAAGAGGGAAAGGCCAGCTTATCCTGAGGGAGGGCATTTCACAACCTGAGAAGTAGCCATAGAGAGACTCTTTTTCACATTGTCATCAAATGTTCCTATGAGAATGGCAGGACTGAAAGAATGGCCTCCCCGGAAGATCTTGAGAGCTAAGGCGGTTCATATGGACAGCTGTCAAATATCCTGGGCCCAAGCTTTATAGTTCATAACGTTGCCCTTCCCATTACTCCCTTTCCATAATGGGTACCTATTTTGTAATAACAGAAGTAAACACCAACACCGAGATAGCAACTTTGCCAATGTCCACTGGTGAAGCATTTGCGCCAAAGCCTTCTAAAATGGATAATCCCCACATTCAATTAACCAAGATATCTTCTGAGATTGGAAAGCATGAAGACTGATAGGTAAGTATTACCAAACTATACTGTCATAGCGAACTAGGTACTTCCTGCCTGCAACAGATAAATTACAATGACTAAATTTCAAAAAATGAGCATTCTCTTATGCACAGATAGAGCACTCCTGCGTCTTCTTTGCAGCACTAGTGCACAAAAGGACTCAAAGAACCATTCATGTGTTCTATAGAGAACAGAGATGACCCTTGGCGTGAATAACGGATCAGATCTAACCGCTACCTTGCATCTGTGGATGATGAACAGGCTGAGTGAAACAAAGCTGTGAAGTTCTCTAAGAGAATGTAAACATTAACATAAGCACTCTGGCCAGAAACAGAAACCACCAGCTTAAAAAAAAAAAAGCTTAAGAGAATCCATGATTCTGCAAATCCTTCCTCATCAAAAAGTCCTTTCATCTGCCTATGTTTGAACATGTTGACTGTGACTAGGAGATATCCTCTACTTGAGCCTTGAGAGGTCTATCTTTAAGAGCACCTTAGGCACCTTTAGAGACAGTGCAGGTAGGGCAATGGCTTCTTCCACCCTGCATTTGCAGGGATCGAAGAAGCAGCCTTTAAATGATGTCTCCTGTCTTTACATTTTCATTTTTACTTGTCACATTTCTAGCTAGAAAAGCTGGAAACAGAAAAAAAAACCAGAGGTAAATCCCTGTGATTTCCTTCCTTCTGTGAATGAAAGGGGCTTTTAGTTCAGGTCTTTTAACTACTGCTTTCCTTGCCTCATTGGAAAAAAAAAACATGGATGGAGTCAGACTCTTCACCACTCTTGTAACGAATGCCCCATTAATTTACTTGCCTTTATTTAGCACCGAGAGATTATGGTGACAAAAGATCTGAAATCAACAATTATTTGTTGGTGCTGTGACATCTCATTATTCTGATGCTAGTGGAATCCAATTCTGCTATCTGTTCAACCATTTCCAGAGGAACCTTTTCCAAGAAAAATGCTATTGCTTCTGAAGAAAAATAAGGAAAAATTTCCCATGCTGATAATTGTCTGTCTGCAAGAATAAGTAACAGAAGTCTCCCTTCTGTTCCATTTCATTATTGCCATCAGAGAGAAAGAGGTGAAAACACGAATTAGCAATTATGTGCCAACATGCTGATTCCCACTTATAGCAACCCTTTTGGAATTTCCGAGACACAAAGTACTCAGAAGTTACAGCTCCTCATTCTGATAGTGTTCTAGAACCATGCAACTTGGTCAAGGTTGCACAGATGGCACAGCACATAAACCCATCAGCCACACACATTCAGGGGCCAGCCTCTCTCCTAAGGGGCACTATGAGAATTCAAATTCCCAGCCTCTAGCTCTGCTGCTAGGTTCTCCAGTTTACTGAGCTACACGTGCATGTATACAAACATTCATTTTGGGAATTACTCTCTGCCCAATTTGAAATAAGTAATGCGGTCAAAAGATCAAACATTCCCACAACTGACCTATAAAACAAGTAATGTTCATTTGGCATACATATATAATATTGTCCTCTGGGTGCTTAACATACCACTATTCCTTCTACTTACTCAAGCTACTTAAGAATGCATAATTATAACATTCCTAATTGTTGTTACACAGCGGTTTATTGTATGTATATAATAAAGACAGAAAAATGGGTAACAAATTAGAGGAAACTAATTGAACTACCTGGTTTTCAGTGTATGTGAATTGCCTGTTAGAGTCCTTCTGTGTAGATCGATTGCCCAGAACACCTCCAAAACTTCCAGATCCCTGAGAGGATTTCACAGCTGAAACAAATACATACCAGCAAAGACAATATTACTTTTCTGTGTTTTTATTTCTATACCCAGGTGTAGAGAAAAAATATTTTTACTTTAATTTTGTACTCTTTCACCTGCAATAGCAAGCCTTATTGAAAATAAATAACCTATACTGTACTTATTTTGCTTACAAAAAGTCATATACTTCCCTACAAACACTTATGCCAGGTTTAAGTTATTTCCACTTTCCAATCTACAGGTAATAAAGCTAACAGTGTTTTTTTTTACCAACCTGTATGAGCCCCATTTTGAACAGTCTCCAGATACAACTTCATATCATCTGCATCTTTAGATGGTATTTTGTCCACAGTCAGGAAACTAGAATCCTTCAGCGTTACCATCAAACAACACAGCTTCCCTTTACTTGGTCGCACAGCCACATTTTTGATATTATGATTTAGCTAAATAAAAAAGATCATAAACATATGGTACATAATTTAAGCAAATGGTGTAACCATACAATTATTTTTGCTAACCAGTAATTTTAAGGAAAGCACCTAAATATACCCCCTACAGACTGCAAACTATGCCTATTCAGTTTTGTACATGTAATGTGACATTAGCCTCACTACACTGAGCAAAACTTCAGGTAGCAAGCAAAAAAGAAGACGCAAGCAAGTAACAGGTATTTTGCTGTGGTAATACAAGATTGGTTCCTTATCCTTCATTCTAGACATGTTATCCCACTCCAGTACATCAGATGCTATTCAGTAATCTGGCTCGTGCTTTTCCATTTTTGCTGCACTTGCATGAAGGAAGCACACCATTAAGAAATTATTGTATTATAGAATGGACCACAGATGGAAAAAAATTAATTTCAGTCTTTGGAAAACTTCCAAACTAATTAACTCCAGTTATCCGACATAACTATCTGTCAAAGAAACAGAATAGCAATAAATCTGGATTTCTTTTTAAACAATTACACTAGACTGCCCATATATATAGTGTGTAAAGGTAAACAGAGTACTAACAGAGACAGATACAGTATGCAAAATAATTTTGTACAAGTTAAGCTACAAATGACATCTGTTAACTGTGTTCACTATGACTCACACTCAGGTAAGTGTGCTGAAGATTGTAGCTTTGCACATAAAATATATATCTGCATTAAAACTATGGCTGAAATCCTGCTGCTTACGTACATGGAAGACAAACAATATAACTTCCAGGAGTTTCTGGCTGGCAGTTAACAAGCCCTAGGTGAGATTTTAGATTGTGTGCTAAGTCACTAGGAACATATGCCCCAAGAATTCCAGTTATGACCTGTGAATTGCCAGCTAATAAGACAATAATACTAACAGTGTGTCATCAAGTCAATTCTGACTTTTGACAACCCTTTCCAGGGTTTTCTAGGGAGAGAATACAGAGTGGCATCTAGCTACAACAAACTTGTATTTCATTTCAAAGGTCTAAAGCTTTTCTTAATTTCTTCCTTGTTGGACAAGTCTATTGAGCAGTATACACTTTCATATGCCACAGTACATTATAATCAGATCAGTGTTCTGAAAAAAACAGAATAATGCATCCTGGAGAAAAGTTCAAATAACAGCTAAATGATCTTAGAAAGGACAGCAGTTCAGTCACAATTCATTGGTTACTTAAAAAAAAACCCAACCAGTTGAAATTCTGAAATACCTGGAATATCTTTGGAATCCCTCCTGCATTATACTGAACCATAAGAGTCACTTTATTATCTTTCTCCACAATTTCAAATGTCCCCTCTTTCCACTTTGTAGTCCCAGTCTGTATGCTACGCATGCGAATAGATCCACATAACTTCACTGGAGCCATGTTTTCGTACAGGTTATAAAAATAACGATAAAGTCTTTTTTTAAACACACGTCCTGTTTTTTCTTTAAAAAAAGAGAAAATCATACCATTAGTAACTATATAAGAGGAACAGTCATTACTAAATTAAACTACCTTTCAAAAATATATGCTCAATGGGTTTTAACTATCAATGCATATATAGCTATCAGAACAAACATTGCTAGTAAATCAGTTTACCTGTCCAAGTTGTGTGTCCTACAGTCTGCTGTGAGGGCTGGAGGACTTGTCTCTGGAACAGATCTGGGGTGTGCAGGAGGGGCTGCGAGGGAAGGAGAGGAAAGGGAATACCACTTGCATGATGTCAAAGTTGCCCAACGTTAATTATCTCTAAAAAGATTCAAAGCACATAGTTCAGTACAGATATCACAAACTTTATCAGAGTGAGAAAATGAAACCAGTATGATTTTAAATGTATCATCAAATTGCAGCCATTGGTGAATTTAATTGGATTTGCACAAACACCAACCTCTTTCTAACAAAATTCAAGAACTCTGAACAGGCTAAAAATATAACTACACAAAACCAAAACTAAGTGCTATGCAAGCCCAAAGAGGGAAAGCTATTGTTCAAAGAAAAAGTAAAGCTGAAATTTTCTACACACTTACCTAGTGAGAAATCTCATTGAATTCAATGGGAGTTACTTCTGACTATATACTGGACTGCACTGTAAAATAAGAAAATATACCAAAAGTGGCATTGGTATATGTATGTGTGGCAGAACAGTTAGAAACATGACAAAATCCTTAAACAGAGGAGTCATTTTTTTCTTGGACTATGAGAGGTTTCTCATTGCTTCTATGTAAATACATGTATCCAAGCTCACCATTTAGGCTGCTTTATGGATGTTTAACTCTGCATAGAATTCAGCTACAAAACTTGTCTTAAGGTCCCAAACAAAACATTAAGCAAAGAAACACACAGATGTTGAGACTGGTTTTTCTTATGCACTCAATAAGCATACCAACATTTAAATACACCAACATATTTTGTGTATCCTAACTCAAGTGATGGCTGAAATTTTCAGTCAGAACTACAGTATTCCTATAAAATAGCACTATTAATTCTACACCACCATGAGAATGGTTTAGTGCCAACAGAATGCCTATAAGCATAACAGTCAAGGCTGCAGGCTAGATTAAAGGCAAGGATCTGGGACTGAAAGGGGCAGAGAGGCCCTAATAAAGATTTGTGACCACCCCTACTTTTCATCATCAAAGCAATTCTCCCAATTCTGTTTCATTTCTGAATACACTGTAAAACCAGCAGGGACCCTAAAGTCAGCTTGAAAATACTGTATAGTACCCAACCCGATTGTATACAGACTTGACACTAAACATCAAGCATGGAAAGCTCTCCATATATAGCTATAAGCAAGCGTCTGACTAGCAGAAGAGAAATTAAAAACAATGAGGGCAAGTCCCAGCACCCAATCCAGCTTACTCTGTAGGGAGTTTTGTTTTAGGATCATAAGACCCAGACGGGGATTGGTGTCTTAAGGAAAGAAATAAGAACTTGCTTTTAAAAGCGGAAAGGCGCTTAAAGGGAGGAGAAAAGAGGCTGGGATTGCCACCTTTGCTATTGGAAAGAAATAAGAACTTGCTTTTAAAAGAGGAAAGATGCTTAAAGAGAGGAAAAAAGAGGCTGGGATTGCCACCTTTGCTATGCTGGTTCTCTTCCCCGCCAGCTTTCTGTGCCGGCGGCGTAACCGCGGGCACAGACTGGGCTGCTGGAAAGTTTTATCTTTTCCTAAGGCTCCATCAGCGTTGCCGGTCCTCTCCTGGACATGCCAGGCTTTTTGACGAAAAGTATAAGCACAAAGCCTGTATAATATTTTAGCAGACTGATAAGCCTGGAGGCGTTCGGTGAGGGAGGGAGCCCCCCCCCAAAAAACCCAGCGGGAAACGGGTCGTGGCTGGAGGGGGGAGATGGGGGGGGAAGAGCAGCGGCTGAGGGAAAGATTGGCCCCCCCCCAAAAAAAACCCAGCGGGAAACAGGTCGTGGCCGGAGGGGGGGAGATAGAGGGGGGAAAAGAGCAGCGGCTGAGGGAAAGATTGAGATGGCCGGGAAGAATGAGGGAAGCTGGGGCTGAGGAAGAGAGTGTCCGACTTCAGACCCAGGCCGCAATTAGCGGGGGGGGGGGAGAGGGGGAAGAGGATCAGACCCAGGCCGCAATTAGCGGGGGGGGGAAGAGGGGGAAGAGGAAGGCAGGGGAGAAGATCAATCCCTCTTCGGCTCCAAAACAACCGCGGGGACTTCGAGGGCCGCCCCCCCCTCCCGGCGCTTCCCCCCCTTCTCCTTCGCCCTGGGCGTCCTCGGTTCGGCGAGGACGGGAAGCGCTCGCCCACCCTCCCGCACTCCTTCCTGACAGAAAAAAAAGCCGCCGCTTGTTCTCCCTCCCCGCCAACCTGAGTCCCCCAGACCCACCGACGCCGCCCCGCCATTCAAGGAGGAGGAGGAGGAAAGCGGCGTCTTTTTGGTTTTTGACCTTCAAGTTCCCGGCAAACCGCTCCGTCTCTCTCTCGCTCGCTCGCCCGCTCGCTGCCGCCGCCGCCTCCTTCTCCTCTACCGGAGGGTGGCCCCTCCAGCCGAGCCCCGGCCTAGTCTTCCTTGAGGGAACCCGGGCCCGGCCTCCTCTTAGTTTCGTGAAAAAGGGCAGATGGCGGGAACCAGATCGGCCGCGCGAACGTCCCCGTGACGCAAACACGCACGTTCTTTTGGAGGGGGGAAGTCTACTAGAAAAAAAACAACTGGAAGGGGAGGGGAGAAGGAAAGGAGCGAAGGGGAGATCCCTACGTCATTACCGCGACGGCTGCTTAGCCGTTTTCTGCGCCGTAGGGGGAAATCGGAGAATTTTGTTTGCGACTAGTATTGGTGCGTGTGGCCCGGTGACGACACACGCACCTCTGCGCACGCGTAGTAGGTAGCTTTCGGCGCGCGTTTTTTTTTCTACTCTTCGCTGTGAGCTCTCAGAACGCATGCGCCCTCGGCTCCTTCTGGCCTACCCCCGATGCCTTGCTAGAGGTCAGGGGTCACGTTGGTAGCAGCGGGAGGAAGGGCGGGCGTTAGGGCCTCCAGTAGGCAAGAGGAAGAGGCGGCGGCGGCGGCTTCGGCTTCCATTCATAATGGTGGCGGCTGAAGTAGAAGCGGCTTCCTGAGGTCTTGCACAGAATTTCCGACCATGCACAGTTTGGCAACGGCTGCGGTAAGACCAGGCCTGCTGCCGTTTGTTGTTTCCCGATAAGGAGGCCGGCTGAGGAGGAGAGAAGGCTGTCCTCTCATTGGTCGGCGAAATTTCGGGGAGGAGGGGGGGGCTCAGAGAATGGACCTTTTTCCCGCCAAATTGCCCTCTTTGAGAAATGGTGATCCTTTAATGCCAACACTTTCCATTTCCCTCTCTGCAAAGGGGGACGTTTGGAGAAAGGAAGACGTGTGGGGAAATTACTGGGCTTACGTGTACTAAACGTCGCGTGTGTGTGCTTCTTATACGTGCTCGCATATGCGAGTCCTTAATTGCCCTTGGTTAATACAGATATGCAATAGCGTGACTGGAGATAAAGGAGATTTAGATAAGAGCTTGTAAAGCAATGGCCCGTGTTTGTGAGTTTATGTATTTATATTTATTTATTTATCTTATATGCTGCCCACTCTACCCAAAGGTCTACCTCATTTAAAGAAAAGCAGACTCTTGCTTATTCACCGTCATTCAGGCCCTCTATGTGTTTGCCAAATTCTGTCTTTTGGGAGCCGCTTCCTCTACTATACTATAAGGATTGTTTTTTCTTAAGCTTCATATTTGAAGCCTACAAGACTTTAACAGTATGATTGTTTTGTTTATATTCTCCCATTCTCCTAGTTTAGATACTTACAGAAAAGGGACAAATACATAAATTAAATAAATGGGAAATAAAATATTTTTAAAAGCTGTGATACCCATAATAGTACACAAGAGTTTTATTATGACAATTTGAAAAGAAAGGCAGATATCCCAAAAGGCACACACACATAAATAGAACATTTTATAGAAGGAAACAAATGCCATGCCCTCTGCAGCCTGAGCAGCAGTCCAAACCTTGACTGAAGTGATAATTTTTTGCCTGCCAGAGGAAATAGGGGCATGAGGGAGCCAGTCTAACCTTTGATGAAAAAAAGTTTCATGGTCTGGGATCAGCCACTGGGAAGGCAATTTTATGGAGATTATTTAACAAGGGAGTTCTTGTAACTGCCACCGATCACTAGTTGGATTGCAAGGTTTTGGATCAGCTATAGTTTCTGAACAAAGGGAGCTCGAGTAAAGTGTGTTGTTTCTATTACATGCCATCAAATGGCTTCCAGTTGACAGCATTCCTAATTGGGTTCTTGAGCCATGTGACATTTTGTCAAGGAGAAGCTGGCCATTGCTCTCCTCCAGTGAGTTTCCATGCCGGAGTGAGGATTTTAACTCCGCTTTCTTGAGTTCTAGTCTGTCACTATCCATTACATCATACTGGTTCTTATAGAAAATGTTAAGTAGTCCGAGTGGGATATAACTAAGGCACATGTAATCTTAGCTACATCAGAAAGTAAATGTTACAGAATGAATAAGACTTCATTTTGAGAGTGTTTAGGTTATGCAGCTTTAATGTGTTATTGGGAATAAAACATGCAGTGTGGAACTTGCTAGCAAATTGTAATGTAATAGTTTTGCAATACTGGAATAAAGTAAAGAACTTTAGAAAAAGTAGTAGAGCTTTGCCAAAT